AAAAACTTTGAAATACACTACCTCAACTTTTTTTAGGCTGAAAAAAAGAGGCAAATATTAATAAATTCCCAAGAAATTATTCTTCTTTTTAAATTATTTAATTCATAATACTTTTTTGTGTCATGTTTTGCGACAAATGTGTTATTTTGACGACGAGATGTGATTATTACAAACTGTGTTAAATCAAATTTACTCATGTTGATGAACTCGATGAGAATGTATTGTCTATTTATCTGCCCAGGGACCCCCTGTTATAATGTATTCGTGTTCGAACACTTGAGACTCATCTCGGTCTCAAGACCCCATTTTGAAGATCTTGGTCTTGTCTCAGATTGGCGGGAGTGGGGCTTTTACATCAAAAGAAGTCAAGACAAGTCCATTATGACTGTGACCGTCACAGTGTCGTGAGAGTTATTATTTGACATAAGTGTGCACATTGAGGTCACAAATTGTTGGAGACTCATGTTTCTTATATGCAACAAAATTCTTGAAATCTTCATGTTTAAACACATACAAGGTTTGACTTTTTTTGTTGATTGCAAGAATTGAATTGGAAAAAAATGTTAAAGGGGAAGTCAGAGGTGGCCATTTTGCCACTTTCTGTCGGGTGAAAATGACCTCACAATTGCTCCTGAGCAAGTGTGATGTCATTTTCAGTCGACAGCAAGTGGCAAGATGGCCGCCCGCTGAGATGGACAAAAATGGATGGCGTTTACTGTTTAACTCATATTTCACAAATGCAATATTCATCAGAATGACATTTTTAGACGAGTGGCGCTGCATAGAACATCCTTGTAACGAACTTTTTTGGGGTCGACTTCCCCTTAAAGATTTGAAATTCTTGTGCTTTGCACAGTTTTTGGCAGTCAAATGCACTACAGAAAATGTATATTAAAATTAAAGAGGGAAAGCACGTTCACTGTTCAACTTAGTCCTGTTTTTTAAATTGATTTTTATGGTCAGTCTTTGCTTGTCATTGTCTTGATCTGTCTCAACTCTCATATGTATGTACACATATAAAGATTAGACATATATATGCTCCTATTTAAACACATACACATCCAGTATCTATAAACACAGGCTTTGGTTTAAAAAAAAAAAAAAAAAGTAAAGTAAGTAGTCAAGCCAAAGATTTATAATTTTAAAAACTATCCATTTTTCAGTTTATCCTGGTTGGGCCGTTAAAATAGTTTTTGGCAGTCAAATGCACTAAAGAAAATTGATATTAGAATTAAAGAGGGAAAGCACTTTCACTGTTCAACTTAGTCCTGTTTTTTTAAATTGATTTTTATGGTCAGTCTTAGCTTGTCATTGTCTTGATCTGTCTCAACTCTCATAGATATGCACACATATAAAGATTAGGCATATATATGCTCCTGTTTACACACATACACATCCAGTATACATACACATAGTCTTTGGTTTAAAAAAAAAAAAAAAAAAAAAAGTAAGTAAAATAAGTCAAGCCAAAGATTTTTAATTTTAAAAACTATCCATCATTTTTCAGTTTATCCTGGTTGGGCCGTTAAAATAAAACGTTACACCAGGTTCTGTGAAGTGGTCGCCCTTTACACCTTCTGCCTCGGTCCAGCTCTGCTCACACTATCCAACCATTCTGAACTTTGGCTGCCAAGTGTGCTCAAGCGCCATTTAGACGGCGAAGACGGCGAAGACGGCGAAGACGGCGCGCCGTCGTTCGCGCGAGTGGCGTCTTTAAGTGGAGATCCCGCAAATAGAAACAAGCAGTGACGAAAAAGCACACGGGGAGGGACGTCAACAATTAGCAGGCGTGAAGCCGACGCCGGAATTAGCATGCGGGACTGATAAATATGCATGTAAAGACGCTCCCCCCGGGGGGGAGGAACATCTTTGATTGATAGCTGTGCAATTGAAGGATGTGTAAATGCGCTGGCTGGCTGGCTGGCAGCACTTGTTAAAAGTTTGAGCAACTTTATAATCCCTCACGCCACATCTGCTCGCCGCCTGTGAAACGTCATTAAATTATTACCGGCAGCTGGCCGCCAAGCCAAGCTAACGCCGCTACTTCTTATCCGAATGCTCCCTGATTTACGCCGCATCTCGAGCAGAATAAATGATTATTTTATACATGTGTAAAATAAACGCCCCGCCCTGCATAATTCATGAGTTTTCAGTCCTATGAGGTGACTAAGTGAAAGATGATACCTTTATGGTTTAAGATACAAAAATAGGTTGGTTGACATAGAGGACAGAGCGGTTGTTTGTGGTTCGTAGGTTGAGCTCACAGTCGTGACGTTCTTTCTGGCTTTGAATCCGAACTCTGGCCTACCTGTGTGGAGTTTGGATGTTCTCCCCTTGCTTGTGTGGGTTTTTCTCCAGTTGTACTTTCAGGAAGTGACTTAGTAACTTTTGGGGCATTACGGGCTCCTTGTGGTTAAGCACATCTGCAACAGTTCTAAGCAGGGTTATGATATTTGAGGATTTTTAATAATAGTTAGTTTTTAGTTGTTTTTTTTGTTTTTGGTCTTTTGAATTACTTTTTAGTAGGGATGCTCAGATCAATCAATCGGTGACAGATATTCGTGAAAGAGTCTGTGAGATCCATCACCCTTTGCATATACTTGATCTGGTCAGGAAGTGTCATTTTTCTCGAAATGTTTCGATAGAATAACATGCATTTAAATCGATTAAATAACCCGTTCTAGTCGCTACATTCCACTGCTTTATACCAGCAATGCACAACAGCGTGCGTTTGATGTCGAGGAATTGTCACTATTTCACACACAAAGTTACGGTTTGTTAAAAGGAAAAAAAAGTGACAAATGCTAGCGTTTAACTGTGACCCACATCAACTATCGAGAACAGAAACACACATATGACAAGGATCAATGTCCTTGGAACTTCATTAATTAAATGTATCGGGCCACGTAATGCGGTCTGGGGAGCGAGTGGCAAGATTTTACGACACGTGTGCAGTGTTGCTGCGTTTTGTTCATTGGCGACATAAAAACAAAAGAAAAAAATCAAGGATGTATGCTCTGTATCGATAGCAGAGACATCAGCCTCAAGAAAAAGCGTTTGAGGATTGAGCATGCTATGGCTGATTTTCAATGGACATGCGTTGACTTTACCTTCTTCGGGAACGAGCGTCACCGCCGGCAGGGGGCTAGCATTAGCATTAGCATCTCGCTTCATCGAGCTCAGCTCAGCAGTTGGAAACATTCGATGGCCGAAAAGAGTTTCAGAAAGGGCGTCGGTTGCTCTCTGTACTTGTCGACATTCAAGTTTGCTCGCTGCAGTAATCGCGATAGCCAGTCTTATTTTCTTCACGTATTTACGGTGTAGCAGAGCGCCATGATGACGTCACGTCAGATTTTTTTTTTTCCCCGTCAAGGTTACGTAGGAGCCACCCAACCAATGTTCAGATGCAAATTATTTTCCTTGGCGAAAATAACGTTTCCCCCTATTTTCTGCCATGTTACAGACTATCATCGGAACTGAATCAGAATTTGGGCAATTTTCTGCAATTATTATTTGAAGGATTTGTCCTGCTTTTTTTAAATGATAAAGGGACAGAAATTCTACACGTTTTAAAATCTTTGTAGCTGTAAAATTGAATATTTTACACCGAATTCATGACCAGTATCGGCCAATCACGCTCATGGGTAGTCGGTATCGACATTTAAAAACTCAGATTGGAACATGCCTAGTTTTGAGAGCATCTTTGTTTTTTATTTTTATTTTTTTTTATAAATGTAAGATGCAGTTTCAGCCCCCCCCCCCCACACCCAACGCTTTTTCTTTTTATTTCATTTCTGTACGAAAAAAGTTTTTTTTTTAGGTTTTAATTTGGAATTCTGGTAGTGTATGTTAACTATAATAACTTTCTTTTTTGAGGATCAGGGTTCAAATCTTGGCTCCTGGTACTGTGGCTTCCTCCCACATTCGAAAAAAACATGCATATGAGCTTCTGTGAAGACTCTAAATTATCCATAGGTGTGATTGTGAGTTTTAATGTTTTTTTTGTTTGTTTTTTTTGTCTGTCTGTATGTGGCGTGCGATTGGTTGGTGGCCACTTCAGGATGCAACCCACTTGTCTTGCCAAAAGTAAACAGGGATAAAACAAGCGCGACAGAAAATGGATGGATGGTTGTTTAATTGACATATCACAAAGTTAGCCCTACTGCCAATAACATTGTGACACGCTGAAGGCAGGCAGCCTCACTGGGAAGACTTGCAGCGCCATCTAATGTCAACATGAGGAAAAAATATATATAAATTTCACTGGCAATTAAGTATTGCGGTGTTGTTTGTTGGTGTGTGTGTGATTGGGGCGCATCCTCAGTGCAGCATGTTCCCGCGGGTCTCACTGCACAATGAGGGGGCGACCACATTAAACACCAAAATAAAAAAATGTGAGTGAGCGTGCATGCGAGCATGCACGTTTGTGTGCACAACTCCCAGGGGTGATTCTCTTCATTTAGCCATCGCTTTACTTGTCTTCAATTTATTTGACACACGCATTTGACAGTCATATTAGACTAATATATATATATATATATATATATATCTGAGATGTCCGATGTTGTTCCCGGGATCTGTTGCAACCACTCATCTAGTTTGGGGGTCACTGCCCCGAGTGCTCCGACCACCACAGGCACGACTGTCACCTTTACCTTCCAGGCTCTCTCCAGCTCCTCTCTGAGCCCTTGGTATTTCTCGAGTTTCTCGTGTTCCTTCTTTCTGATGTTTCCATCACTTGGGACCGCTACATCCACTACAACAGCTTTCCTCTGCTCTTTATCTATGATCACGATATCTGGTTGGTTATATATACACAACAGTAGAGTTGGAAGAAGTGGCTGGGGAGAGGGAAGTCTGGGCTTCCCTGCTTAAACTGCAGCCTCTGCGATCTAACCTCAGATAAGCGGAAGAAAATGGGAGGATGATTTGTCATTGGATTCATCCACTCACCGGCCATTTCGTTAGGTAAAGTTAAATTTTAAAAAGCAGTGCCAACATATGAGAAATGCTTCTCCAAGTTATCGTACACTAAAAGTAAACTCACAACTATAGACTATAAGCTTAATAGTACATTTTTATTTTACTACTTTTAAATGTCAGCGTATTCTTTTTGACATCTTACAGAGATACAATGATAATCATTTCAAATATTCAGCAGGATGCATCAAATGCTTTTAAGTTCATTTTGTCATGGCACTTCTTAGAGCTTTAAACACACACACACACACACACACACACACACACACACACACACGTATGGACACACTTGTGTCTGTGTGCATGTGTCTTTGTCTTCCCGCCCTGCTGTTTTCTCCTGATAATTCCAAATGTCCACATTCTTCTGTTGTGAAGTTGATCCTTCGTCTTTGTAGAAACAGACACCACCAGCCAGCGCCTGTGTTCTGCTGCCCGGGGAATGGCCAGGCAATTAGTGGGATTCAAACGCACGTGAGTATCGCTTGCAGGCCACCCGTATCTCTTGCTAGGGGCCTGCATCTCTCTGGATATTCCCCCGCGGCTGCCCGTATTGCTTACTATGGGTTTGTATTGCTCATATATAGCTTGCTTGCCACCCATATCACTCACGTTTAGCCTGTACCACTCTAACATAATGCGACGGATGTTGGTATCTTTGGGCTTTTACCCTTCTCTGACCGCCTGCCTTAGTAAAAAAAAAAAAATTTATATATATATATATATATATATATATAAAACATTTTGTAATTATTTTTTTGGTTCCATTGGTTTGGATAGTATATATTGAATATTTTTTAGGACAGTAGAAAATTGTCAGATGATCACATTTTAATCATTTGTAGCCGAAAGTACTTTTTTTCAGTCTAGCGGCTTTTTGTAAGGCAATGTTATGTACTACACAAGTACTTTTTTTTTACATTAAACAGTTAGTCAAGACACTTCTTTTTTTATTTAAATGACTTACCTGTGTATTAACGAGGGGAAATTGTATATTGATGTGACAATGATTAAAAAAAGTATTTTGAGTTTAGATGGGTAAAAAAATAAAATAAAAACATTGTCCAATGCCTTTATTATAAGATGCATTTATAAACTTTAAATTAAAACAGATTTCATCATCCAGCCGCTTTGAGGTACATTTGCCCCCTTTTTTGTTTATCTTTCAAAAAAACAGATGTGACATGATAACCTAAACATGCTGAATGTATTTTTTTCAAAAATATTTTATGGTCATGTTTATGTTTTTTCATCGCACACATGCGTCAAGAGAAGAAAAAGCATCTGAAAATAATTAGCCAACGAGGTGGCGTCGAGCAGCATATGGTGGGGTCGTGCGGCAATGGAGGGTCTTGTCAATCATCTATTCACAGACGTATGGAAATCAACGACACAACTGGTGGTGATTCATCAAGTCGCTGTCACAGGAGTGTACTTTTACAAAACATCCCAAACTTCGAGAGTTACTTCCAGAACCCCCGTGAGCTGACTTAGCCACTCGTACAGAATCTGCTAGCATAACTAGCTTGACAAAAGCATAGCAAGTGACATGGCTGTCTTTGAAAGGCAGAAGCCACTTTTTTTTTTTACCCCTGTTAACAGGACGGAAGAAGTGTAAGTGTATATCAGAGTACCCCATAAAGGGGAAATACCGTCTCTATGTTTTAGCTCTGAAAAAAATAGGAAAAGTGACATAGCTATAGCTATAGCTCCACGATTCAGTGATACATGGTTTTCCGTCTTGGCACTTATTCAGCAATTATCTTCAAATATGTCAAATGTATTTGGAAACAAATCTGATTTCACTTGACAGTGTCTTTAAAAGGGTGTTTTTACATTTTAAATGAATGTGTTTAAATCGCATGCGTATAAGTTAAAACTAACCACGCTAAATTGCACACCGACGACAAACGGAATGTTACGCCATTTTGAGTTTTCCAAGGTTTTCTCCAACATTCTGGTCAGTTCGAGTAGCAAACTGTCCTCGAGTGAGAGTTAGCCACAAGAGAATCGACACAAACTGCAGTTTTTTTTTTCTCCCCGCTTTTTTTCCGGAAAGCATGACAGCTGCATTTAAATATGAAATAGCTGCAAATTTGCTGCAGCGACAGCATCGCGGGCTGTGAACAAAAGCGACGTTTGGAGGCGAAGAAAAAGCAAAACGCGTGTAAAGCAGCTCTTTGTCGCTGTTCGCCGCGCCGCCGCTTTTGTTTGCACACAATGGGATGAAATATTTTTAACCGGTAATTACCTGGCGGGGATCCGACGTGCCGGGATTCGCAGGCCAGTGTGGCGCGGCAGGTTGGAAGGTACCGCCGCCGTGTGAGTGTGCGCGTGTGAATTTGCGTGTGTGTGACTGGCAGATGCTTTCCGCAACTGTCTCTTCACCATCCAAGATGGGAGTCACCGCTTCACGCCAAGTCCATCACGGGCGAACGCGAGCAACGGATTTAGGAAGCCTCCCGCCTTGTCGTCGCTCCTTCCAAATCCAGTCCGTCTGTTGTCCCGCCTTTTGTAAACTATTGTGGCGTGTCCCTGGTTATTTTTACCGTCTTGTGCCATTTACCGGGCTAAAATGTAAAGGGACTTAGATACAGGCCCAATTCAGCTTGTACCGTACCATCGCAAAGAACACAAGCCAAAGCAGAATTAAGCAGTTCTTTAATCGGGGAAAGAGGCAATTAGTGTTGCAAAAGTCACAATGTCATTGCACAAAAATGTCAGTTGGATTTCCTTTGAGATTCTATTGAATAGCTTTTGTTTGAAAGATATGTTTGAGGAATGACAGCTTTGACCAGACAAAGGTCTTCAATTTTAGGGTTAGGTTAGGTTTGGGTGGGTTGGCTTTGATCTTAAGGGTTAGGATTTAGAAAATGGGGTTAGGCTAGGCTTTGGAGTACAGGGTAATGTGAGGTTAGGGTTGGGTTTAGGCTCGAGTTTGCGGGCTGACAGTTGGGGTTAGGTTTTGCATGACTGGGTTGTGTTTAGGGCTCTGTTTCAGAGTTGGGGTGAAGAACGGGTGAGGTTAGGTCAAATCAATGTTCTTCCTACAAGTGGTAAAGTAGGCACGGGCAATGGATTTTTGTCCTTTTAAGAGCATGTCCATTTTTATTTTAAAGGAGAAATAAGGGATACAATGAGGTTTGGGCTGTGTGTATATATATATATATATATATATATATATTTTTTTTCTTCATTCAAAAATGATCATTTCTTCAAAAATGCCTTTAAATATATTTATTTTGGTTTGTCAAATCCAACATCGATACCAAATCGATTCTCTCAAAATTAAAAAAATGGTTTTAAAAGGGGTTAAGAATTTCTTTTCTCTTTTCCCTCCCATTTTTATCAATTATAACTTACTGGATAACTTCCAAAAAAAATGGTATGAAGTTTGGTAACATGGCGGTATCGTGGAAGTCCCCCCCCCACTCCCCCCCTCCCCCAGTGTGACACATGGAGCATTATTCTGGCAAGAGGGCTTTGTGAGGTTTTTTTTTTTTGTTTGTTTCTATTCCCTTACATTTGGAGAAGGCAAAATACATCCAGATATTTTTATATTTTCCGCATATCGTGCCAGCCGTGTTTTGAGAACAAAAAGATGTCAAAAAGTGATAAATCTCTGTCATAATAACACAAACGTCTCAAGGTCTGCCGACACTCACTTTTTGTGTCCAAATAGAACAAAGAAAAGTGTCACGATGCGTCAACTCAAAACACTTTTTGTTTCACTGTTAAATGACCTTCACAAGTCAGATGGAATGGCTGTTTGTTTGTTTTTTTTTTCTTTTTAATTCCCCATTTTTATTTTCTTTGACAATAAAAACAATTGTGGATTTACACCGGGTGATAAAGGAGCGCATCTTATAACATGCTCCAATAATCCACCTGCTCTAATTACAATCATAAAGTGTCGGAGTCGAGCCGTAATGTAGCGCTGATTCATGTCCGCGCTGACAAAACTTTTTGTTGTCTTTTTCTTGTTTTTCTTTTCTTCAACTTTGGCCAGTCTGTAGTGACAACAAACCGTGAGTGTAACTTCAAATCAGGATCGTTGTTCAACAATTTTATTTTCCCCCCTCCAAACATTGTCTCAGCAGTCCCCAAACTTTTTTTGCACCGCGAATTGGTTTCATGTGAAGGCATATTTTCATAGGCCAGTACAGAATCAAATAAAAAGAAATGTTAAAATATCCAACTTACCATTACGATGAATGTCGTTCGTGAGTGACCCATACTTCCCTTCAATGAGCCGATCCCATCGAAAAAGCTCCACTGGTTTGTGTTTTAAAGCCAGCAGGAAAATATTTTGACGTGGAATCCATCGTTGCTAAAAAAATGGGGAAAAAAAGGAAGAAAGAAAATTACAAAACAAGAATGTTGTTGCTGGCAGTTTGTGTTTTACAACAGCGGTCCCCAACATTTTTTGCCCCACGGACCGGTTTAATGTCAGACAATATTTTCAGGGACCGGCCTTGAAAGTGTGACAGATAAATACAACAAAATAATATGATATGACCTGCATGAAAATTGTGGTATTTTCGAAACATCATAATAAAGACGAATCATGACACGAGGAACGTCCTATCTGGCCACAACACTCTCTGGTCGCTATGGTAACGTTTAAACGTGCCTTCAAAATAAGATACAAAGTGCATAAAAATATGACTCATCATCTCCGCATATTATGCAGAGTGGGCTCGGTGCGTGGGAATCTCCCGTTGAGATAAATCCGTATTTTAAGTACGAGTCTTGATACTGTCGATTAAATGTCGCGTTCTTTTTCTTTGTTTTTTACTCATTTTGCTAGCTCCCGGGTTTCATTTTAGCGGTAACCTATCCGAGAAGCGCGCCTTGACCTGCATCACGAGTAACATACTGTAGACGGATATAACAGAGGATCCGGTAATTTTTCAAAATAAAACATCTTTCAGATTCCGAAATGAATAAGACGGAAGTAATGTAAGTTATGTATTCTTTCTTTGCGGCCTGGTACCAAATGACCCACGGATCGCTACCGGTCCGCGGGCCCGGGGGTTGGGGACCGCTGTTTTACAACATAACTATTAGTACGTGTGGCATTCTGCACATTGTAGCTACATCCAAATTTCAAGTGCAACGTGATGTTTAGCATTTCTCCTCTAAAGTGCATAAGGGGGAAAATTAGACGGAAGAATTTGCGCAGGAGCAGTTTAGAAGGTGAGTAAATGACGGGAAGGAGAGGAGAGTCGGCTCTGCCAGAAAAGCAACCGGATGCCTTTTCACTCTTGCGCACTGGGAGAATATGGCCTACAGGTAGTAAATCAAGGAGGAAAAGTTTTGCCAATGTTGTTCCAATATTAAAAGTTTTGTTGTACAATTCCTTTGGCACTTTGAGGCTAATTAAATATGGTTTAAAAAAAACAAAAACAACAAGCGTCTTAGTGTCTGAATGCGTAAAAATTGCATTTTCACCATTGAGATGACGCTAACAATAAAAAGAAAACAGATTTCCCCCCCCCCCCCCCCACCCCCCCCCCCCATTTATGACATGATTAACATTTGGATTATCATAAAGGTCCTACGATAACATCCAGGTAAAAAAAAAAAATACATCTATCTCAACAGATCATCTTGCGATAATCAGAAACCAAGTGATGAAAACACATTTTGCCATACCGGAAAGCTAACGACGTGCTGATAAAATCTCAATGTTGTTGCCTTGAAGATCAAAGTTGATGGCATCATGTCACGGATGAGATCACGCTAGGACCGGAACCCATCGATAACTCGATGCTATCTCCCAGAGATAATTGACAGAAAAAAAAACTAACCACATTTTTTCTCTCTCTGCTTTATGGAAAGCCATTTGAGCCTTTATTTGATATCCATCTTACGGTGTCGTACGCTCTTTGTATTTTGTGTTACGAGTGAGAAGGAAAAGGGGATCAGTACAATGGACCTTCAACTAAACGCTGCGCCTGACCCTTTTTTGACATTTCCCCCGGCGTGACCGAGCGTTGGTGTGTTTCTGTGGAAATTATTAACATCTGCTGCGCAGGCATCAGGAGGAAGTCACGCGTGCCTTAATGGGCCCTTGTTTAGTCATTTATGGCTAAGCGTGTCATTACACCGCGATTTACGAGCCTGCGTCTCCTCCGCGAGTTTCACCTCGCCGCTATTTATTTTGGGGCTTTTTTTTTTTTTTTTTTACGGCCATAGAGGCTGCCTAACAGTCCTCCCTCGCTATCCAATTAATGCTGATGATCGGGTGCATCACCACGCCCCGTTTTTTTTTTTTAAGCGCCCTTTGCTTTGACTGTTAAAAATAACTAAATGAATAACTTGGCGTGATGATGGGGAAAAATGTGCATTAATATCGGACCCCATTTCTGTCCAGAGCTCAAACCAAACATGGTGAAGTGGCATTCAGCTGTTATGCTGCACAAAAATAGAACTGAAGTGAAGTCAGACCGCAGTATGATTGGGTTTAAATCCATGTTAGACACGTTGCTTAGGAAAGCCAATTTTCACATGAGCAAAACGGAAAATTTAGTGTTGAATTGGCTAACTTAAAAGTTTGTTGCCATGAAATTTAGAGTTCACTCCATTGTTTTTTGTTGTTGTTTTTTTAAACGTATATAGTACACTTCTTTCCCCAAGTCACTTTGGACTACACTGTTAAAAAAGTGTCAACTAAAAATTTCAAGGCAACACGCGGACAACATTTTAATTTGGATAATTCAACAATATATTTTATTTTGCTAATGTGAAAATTGTCTTTCCTACATTTTTAACAAGTGGATCACACTTCTGTCATCAAAAGTCATCTTGGATTACTTGTAGACTATTTTTTTTCCAATTTCCATCCCTTTGTTCAAGAACAGGACTTTTTTTTCCCCCTCCAAATTGACAATACAGGAAAAGATATGAATTAAGTTTCGTTTCAAGCTTTGGTCTGTAATTTGTCAGGAAATGGTCAAAAACGTTCAATGTTTTCCAAAGTAAACACAGATGTTTCTGAATGTTTTATTTTGACTCAACACAAAGCTAATAAGTACAGTTTGCTTTCATAGAGAAATACAGAAATCAGACTGCTGAGAATCGGAAATTTCAAGGATTTGGACCATTTTGAATTCAACGAGGTCTGAAATAGCTATCGATAAATCTGCTAACAGATTAGTTGTCAATCAATCGATTAAACGTTGCACCTCTACATGTTTGTCTGTTCTATGTGCCCTGTGACTGACTGACCACCAATTCAGGGTTGCACCCCCCGCTGAGATGTGCTACAACTCACTCGCGACCCTAATCAGGACAAGAGCTGTAGAAAATGGATGGATGGATTTCACAACTTCTAAACAAGCATAGGTTTGTTTGCCATTTTAAGCGCATGAATAAAACATGAATATTTTTGCCCAGGAGCGACAACTTCACTCCAAGTCCTCCACCACCGCTTCTTAGAAGTCATAAAAAACACACCCACTCCACTCAACATCACATGACCTGGTGTCGCTAGCGCGGTGCAGCCGTGGAGTAGCCCGACATGCTTGCCGGCTCTAAATATTCAATCAACTCATGACATCGTTGGTCATGGTGAGCGATGACACGTTCTCGGTAGCAGATGGTGGATTTAGGTGTGATGGGTACACACACACACGCATGCGTGAACACACACAGACGCACACGCGCGCACAAACGCTGTATGTCACAAACTCAACACACTGCTATAATGTCGAAACTGCTGGCAACAGAAGCGAGTCCAAGCCAAAATGAAAACGCCCAAATCGGAGACATGTTCAAAGTGACAGACGTCTTTCGGATTTGGAAATGTCAACAAGTACATATACAGTGGTAACCCTACTTTCGAACGTCTCTTCATACGAAAATTTCAAGTTACGAAAGGCCTCAAGAGGAAAATATTGCCTCTTGTTATGAAAGAAATTTCAAGATACGAAAGGTAAAAATACAGTATGGGCTGCTACTTGCAATTCCGAGCTCCCTGAATGCAACGTATTCATAGCTGCTCTGCCATTGGCTATTACCGAGCATCATCCTGGCATCCCATTGGCTAAGAGGGACCTCTTTTCGAAGGATTGTTAAAAGATGACAGGCAAAAATCACTTCTCAGGACAAAGAGGGCAAAAAACGATGAGGACGCAGTTAAAAGTTAAATTACCATCATTGTTATTCTTTGTTTTACATTATGCACAACTCTCATTTATTGTGCAATAATCTAATTGTAACATATATTTGTTACATTTTTTTTAATGCATTTTTATCCTTTAGAAAATTTATTTCTGAATTTTGGGGGGGCTTGGAACGGTTTAGGGCTTTTACATGGAAAACGCGTCTCGACTTACAAAATTTTCTAGTTCAGAAATTTCTTCCGGAACCAATTAATTTCGTATGTAGAGGTATCACTGTACTTATACAAACTGCATCGTATTTTACTCGAAACGACCCCGTTTGTCATTTCTGTGAAACAAAAACAAAGAAAATTCCGAACACAGACACACAAACGGGTTAAATCTATGACATGCGCGAAATGTGCTCTCATTTAATATCATAACCTCGCCCACAAATAGAGAATATTTTGACGGAAAGTCTCAAATCAATCATTGTTGGCCTTTTCTGGGAGTGACTCTCTTCAACCTTCTGATTGGCTAAAAGAGTCGTGCGGTCAGGTGGGTTCGAGCCCCACCCGTTGGTTTCGCGTTGCGTTATTTTTCTGTCTATTTTGACTGTTGCGTGTCAGTATTCCATCAGCGCGTATTGTCGCCGTGCGTTTCACATTCACGCTCGACACTATCCGCCGGCGAGTGTCATCCGTCAGCTCATCGGCGTCGTCGCTCCGCTTTTTATGGTGTCTGCAGCCTCTCGTTGGGCTGATTTATGCGCCTGGCGCAGATGTTGCTTACATCCCAGATTTGTTACTTATTTATTTATTTTTTATTCAATTACCGAATCTATCTGGCTGTTTTAATTACGGCTATGAAAAGCCCCCGTATCCACCTCGTCGGCGCCGCTGCCCGGATCAACGCCTTCTTGACATCACATCACACGCCGCCAATCGACGGGGCTGCCTTCACTCTGCTTTAAAAAATAAATAAATTTTTAAAAAATCAACTCATATTACATGCATGGAGCTGGCTGTCATTGAACGGTATATTAATATCCACGTTTGAACCTTTATTTAACCAAGTAAAAGATCAATTGAGACCATGGTCTCATTTGCAGTGCTGATCTGGCCGATAATAAATAGTTGACATTGTAGACGGGCATCCACATGGACACCTATAATTTACACATGGTACGAAAGATGTGAAGTTGTCGATCGAAAAATATTTT